GCAGGGTTCCTGCTGCGAAGGCGAAGTCCATAGCGCTCTATTGGCTGTGCTTTCACAGACCTACAGGGGAACTCCATTCCTCGTTAAGCAACAAACCACCACCTGTTCTCATTTCATCTCTCCCGTCCTCGCTGTGCCTCTTGGACCACTGGTGAAGGGCAGACACCCAGGTACTCCATGAGGAATGGAGGCAAGTTTCCCATTCAAAACATTCCCCATCCATTTCCTGATGGCTGCCACCTGTTCTCCCACCCTCAAGCCCCACACCCCTCCCAACACCACATCGCAGCCCCAGGCACACACACACACACACACAGCTCCCAGCTGAAGGATGGGCAGATTGTAGGATGGAATGAGAGTGCATTGTCAGTGTCACGGGGGGCAAAGGAGAGAAAGAGGTGTGACTCTGTGCTGCTCGATGCCCCTCAACTTCCAGATGTCACTCTTTTTAATGACATAATTATGACCGTGTTATGACTCCCCTTGGCCTTCAGTCAGTGCTGGAAACCACGCATTAGATACTAGCACGAAATGCACATAAACACACAATTCCTGCATATTATTAATATTCTCACTAGTCAATGTCAGTGTGGCTATGCCACTGAAATTGTAACAATGTCTTTCTGAAAGATAGTTTATAGGATTCGCAGGTAGCTGATTTACATTTCCTCCTGCTGCCAGATAATATCTCACAGAACAGCATAATAGTGATAAGAAAATAACATTTTTTTATCACATAATATGTGATGCATGAAAGAGTCTAACAAAAGGGATTACTTTGTGAGTGTCAAATGGTGAAAGATTATCAATCAAATATCAAAGTGGCCAGCTTCTTCTTTGCTTACACCCTGGAGCTGGGGCCATCTGGAATAGCCATTTTCTGGTCATTAACCATGCTCGCTTCTCAAGAATTCAGAGTTCTTGCGCCTGCCTGTAACAGTGACTTGAGCTGGTGACTCCAATCTTCACCATTTGAACCACTTTGTTTGTTAAATTCAGCTTGGTTGGGAGACACACTGCTTTTAGAAATGGATGGTGATGAAAGGCAACCCAGAGGCATACAGTGTGAGACACCCAGAGTGGTAGTTTCCAGGCCAAATTCAGCAAACATACCCTCCACGAGTACATAGGAAACTGTGAAGAATGATCACAGTGAATAGCACGATGAGCTGTTGTTTCAGTGGAGACCTGCTAATGATGAAGGCAGTCCTGTCTCTAACAGGGCTAATTGGGGTTCAGAGGCGCCTAATGTATGATAGATGGGGAAGGAGAGGGTCTCAGTGGTGTATGGCACTGCTGGCATGAGATGACAAGCATTAATAGAGCTGAACCTTTCACTCTGAGCTGAAAGACATCTGTAGCCAGCAGGTAACCTCAGCTTTATCATTACAAGCTAGACCTACTGATGCTCTCCTGGCATGACAATTTAAAGCGATATATATGTTTGCTGGCTAATTCAAGCTGTCAACATCATCCCTGTTTGTAGGTGAAAAATGGGTGCACCACGCAGTGCACCAGATGGCAGGAGCGCATCATCAATCTGAGACAGCAGACACTTGATGGATGGAGTCTCCAGAGTAAACAGTTTCAAACTAAGAACCACACAGAAAAGAAGAAGGAAGAAAAAAAGGCTCACAAATGAGCACTTTTGTGCCAAAAGACAAATGCAACAAACATATTTTAGTTTGGGGATTAAAAAATTTCACCCAAGAATCAAAAAAGTCAGTAAGGGATCCTGATATTAGACTCCAGCTGGTGCTAGAGGTTAGCATAGTCAAAGGCAAGTCAACAAATAACGATTTTCATGATATAAATAGTAATACCGATCTATTGAAAACAAAGGAGGTGCATGTGTTAGAGCATTATCACCCAACTCTTATTATTTCCATCCCTTTTTAAAATAGCAGAGTTTAGATACAAACTGCTGCTGAGTGGGCAGCGCCTCTAATGCACCAACCAAACGCCCCGTGCTCACCATTTCACACCTTTGCAAGGAAACATTGTAGCAAAAGTGTATAGCAGGTTTTTGGTAGCAACAAGAAATCCCTAACATCAAAAATCTGTATATGAACATGCACAGCCTGCAGAGTGGCCTTTGGTTATCACTTGAAGGGGCCGGCAGCTAAATGTAAGCTGGGTGAGGTTTCCACTGTTCATTAGTGCAGCAACAATATTTTCCTGAATCTACTTATTTAGTAAAATCCGTATGGAAGCCTGTTTCTGCCACTAAAAAAAAAAAGAAAAAAAAGGATGCATCAAATTTCGAGAAAATAACTCGAAATTTTGACTCATTAACTCGAAATTTTGAGAAAAGTAACTAAAATTTCGAGTTAGCGCTGCCAATCAGTAATCTACGTGAATGACGTCATTTCCTTGTTACCCGGAAGCTGAAGCCCTCAGCTACAAATGCTACAGCTAAGCTACCAGTATTACAGCCAGTCATAAATGTACAAATTGCTGATTATTTTCAGCCTGGCTTCACAAATGATGAAATCCTTGTGTTACTCGCTGAATCACATGGCGTTATTATCACCCAACTTACTCTCGAAAGCGCCGATTTGTTGCAATCCAGTTTTTATCTATGTAGATTACTGATTGGCAGAGCTAACTCGAAATTTCGCGCAACTTTTCTCAAAATTTCGAGTTAATAAGTCGAAATTTAACTCGAAAAATAACTCGAAATTTCAATTTATGGAAGCCCGTTTCTTTTTTTTAGTGGCAGAAACGGGCTTCCATAAATCAGAGATGCTGTTAGGCAGGCTTGCTGTTAGAGATTGCCTGAGCTAGCCTTCATGCTAAGTAAGGTAAACTAAAAATGGCTAGTGGTAGTTTCCCACGCACCTTTTTAAATACTAATGATGTCAATTTACTCATACACAATGAAAAGAAAGCCAATAAACATATTTCCTAAAATACTTTTGAATGCAGTTTTTTCTGCGTAGCAGAGATATTCTTTTGTAGTCCACTTGCTTTGCATAGAAAACAGAGACATATATTTGTTGGTGAAGAAAAGCATGTAGGCGGACTCTCTTTAATGCCAGAAATATGATCCCAAATATGAAAAAATGAGTAGTTTATCGTTTCAATTTTGGATTTGCTTGGTAATCAAATCAAGAAAACAATCAAGAAAATACACACCCTGTGAAATTAGTCAAAGCACCCTGGCCAAGTGCCCTTTCCCTCAATGTTTTGTGTATTTCTACATGAAGTGTGTATTTCTGCCAAGGATTCAATCGCACTGTACCCTTGGCAGAAATACACCACCAAAGCATAATGATTTCACCATGTTTGACAGTAGCAATGGTTTACTTTTCCCTCCAATCATGGCAAACAGACTGATACCAAACAGCTCAATTTAAGTCTCATCTAACAACATCACATTCTCCCAAATCTCATCAGATCTTCTGGGTGTTCACTGGTAACCTTAAGAGGGGCCTGAACAATGGCTTTCTTGAGCCTGGGTACTTTATAGGCACCGCAAGAATTTATACTATATTAGTTACCAACGGTTTTATTAAATCACACACTCAGTGTGATTTGAGATATTTAAGGAAATCCTGCCATGCAGTTCTGGGGTCATTCCAAGCTGTTCAAACTGCCAAAAGTTGTAATTTTCTTACCAAACTACTTTCTGGTGTTTTTATAGTCCATTCGAGCCTTGTGGAAATAGGCAGTCTTGTTCCTCACATCCTTTAATAGATCTTTGGACTTTTTTTATGGAGGTCAAGTTAAAGATGTATACTAGGAGTGCTGGTATACTACTCAACAAAGTGGTGCAATTAACTGTGAATGCTGCCTTGACAATTGTTAATAATTAAGTTGAGACTCGTTAAAACTCATTTCCCTTATTCCTTTGTGATTTTGTTGATACATTATATTTAGCTATAAAATTAAACTGCTCATTTCTCTGTAAGGGGGTGTAATTATAAATTAATCACAGTGTCAAATGCTCATTTCCTCCCACTGACCACATTACACCAGACCAAACTGTGATTATTGACTTTCATGAACATAAACTGTAGATTATGTATGTTGGACAGAATGCACTTAAATTTCCATTTATGCGATGTGTCAGGATTGCTTCTTCAGAGGAGTTAAATGCTGAAGCAGCATAAGCGACGACAAAAGTGACAGCATTTCTTCAAAAAAGCCACACAAAAGTGATGTACACTAAAGTGAGGAAACGCAGGCAACTTCCTGGGTATGAGTTGGCAAGGTGAATGAGGCCAATGTGACGTCTGCAGACAAATACAAAACTGCTGAGATGCTGTGTCACAATATGACAGGCTGCACTCTGCCAGCAAAGTTAAACCTCCCCCGCTATATTCTGAATATAAACAGTTTGAAAAACTGCAAATTAAAAAAAAAAGAAAAAAAAAAGGTAACAGTGGAAGGCAGAGATGAGTCCTTTTATGATGGAGGCATCTCTATATGACATGCGACCACCAGTGTGCGCCATGAATAAATCATCCCGAACCGGGCGGCGAGAGTAAACAGTTGTGTATCTTCACCTCAAATGCCTAGAGAGGCCTGTCAGACACAGCAGTTAACAAAGCCTACCTCCTAATCATCATGCGAACCATGTTTCAGCAGATCCAAGTCCACAGCTGACACCATTACCCCACTCCCATCTTCTCCTCTCACTTTACAACACAAGAACTCACTCAGTATTTCTCCAGAGTCAACTTAAAGTGAAGTTAAAGCAAGATGGTAGCATTGCTGTTAATCTTTCCCCAGAGTCTCTGCTTCACTCAGTTGTATTCGAAGACCGCCTGCATTGTCTTTGTAAATTAGGAAACCGGGGCTTTGGGATTAGCTGCCAATTTGCACCCACTGTGGAATGAATCTCCTCAAGACCTCCGTGATTTACCCATTAACACGGCTGCACGCATGACCCGGCTCTTATCGAGTGCATCGCTGGAACAAAGTATGGTTTAAAACAAAATCAGCATGCTTCATCCTGCCATAAAAAAACTCTTTAAAAACCACTTTTTTTTCTCTTTTTTTTAGAATATAGTTTTATTTATAATTTATAATTGGCAGATACAAAAAACTCTTGAACTGTATCCAAAATGTGCAATAAATCACTGTTGATTTTTTTTCCCAAAAGAAAAATACAAAAAGACCATCTATTTTGGAAAGTTGACAACCAATGTAAACTGGAGTGAACTGGTAATTCTACAGAGGGTTTACTAATCGCTACTAATTCTCCTTTGACTACAAATCTGCTTTGCTCTCCCAAGATGAAAACCAAAGTCACTGTGTGTACATACATCTACATTGGTGACATTCTATCCCCGCCCCCCGCCCACACTGTTAAATACAAGAAAGGCAATCATATCTATAAGCAGCACAAATGTGTATAACACATTAAAAGAAAAAATAATAATAATAACAAAGAGTTTTCAAATTGTACCAAGATATTCACGTGAGAGAGGGTAAATAAAAGGGAGGGGCATGTCCAAACGTAATGTTGTAAACAATTACCTTCACTCACCGAGATGCACAAAACAAAACAAAACAAACAAAAACTCAAAGCTTGTTTAGTGCTTAACAGCTGTTCTCACTACAAAAAGCGTCAGCAGTCTGAACAAGCATCAACCTCTGGAATCAAACTTTGAAGGTAATGCTTAATAATAAACTAGTATTTCGAGAAATCACAGCAGCATACCGTATGAAACTGGCTCCTGCGTGTCAAAATTTGATAACAGATTAAACATTTTAATGGCAATACATTTAAAAGAACATAGTATTATGGAAAAAAAAAAAAGACTAACATTTTATTTTTCACATTTCAACTGAAACACATACAAACACACTGAAAACATGATTAATATCAACATTCATGCCGTGATCCCATTCCTTGACAGCCAATGAGCATTTGCAGAGGCTTTGAAATGATGCTGGTGAACTACCCTTTTTATCCAACAGATATGACAACAAAAACTCTTTTTAATCTGACAGTTATATGAACACATTGGGACAAATGTGACTATTTAACCATTAAAATTAAAAGAAAAAAACAAAAAAAAAAAACAAACACACACGCACACACACCATCTGAAGGAAAACTGTAGGCAGGAGAGGATCCAAGTATAAAAAATGTTCAAGTGCAAATAATGTGTCAATGTAGTTTTTATGCTTCCCAAGCTTTCTGAAAATGGTCTGCAGGCAGATAAAAATGGATACCTCAAACAAGCGCACATTCCCTCTATACAACCACATCCCCCAGATGGCAAATGTCACAAAACAAAAAAACCAAAAAAAAAAAAAAAAAAAAAGAAGAAAAATCAAGAATTCAAAAAGAAAGAAAAATACATTTCTTGTACAAAGAATATCCAGCCAATGCTTGTGACAGAAACATCTCTCGACACAGCCGAACGCACGACCCAAATCCTTCATTCCTATACAACTCAAAAGCTTTAAAAGGTTACGTTTTTAAACATGCAACACCATTCAAAGTTCCTATCTAATTTCTGCTGTGCTAGATTCATAGTAACTTCCGCAGACACCACCGTTTCCAGCTAACAATCTAGAACTATGCGCTAACGACCTACCAACGTTGTTCCAAATACTTTTAAGGACACTGATGTCAAAAAAATAATAATAATAATATAAAGAAATGCTCATTCATAATGTGAAAGCACAATTCCCTGTCAAGTATCCATATAAAGCACTTGCGTAGCATACTGTGTGCTCTTCCCTTTACTCTGGCAGAAACAGCCCAGTAGAGAGATAATCCGTGGGGTAGTGCAGTTCTGTGGAGACTGAGAACAATGTGACTGAGCAATGACAAAAACTGTACGCCTGTTTACATGTCCTGAAAACCCATGTAACACTAATGACAACATGCAGCTGTGACTGAACTTTTGTCATATGCTGAAACACTGGCATCACTCCGAGATGGCGAGGAGGACTCAACTCTGGCTTTCCCAAATCCGCTCACCTAAGCATCCTCAGTTTTAGGATTCTTTTGATCTGTGTCCAGCTCATTGCAGGCATTAAGAGACTAAGAAACAGCCATCCCTACATTCAGATTGTCAATTGACTAGAGACCTGTTTTTTTTTTTTGTTTGTTTATTTGCACCCCCCCAGTCATAAGTTAATTGAGGGCAATTTTGTCTATATATAAACTGCCCAAGGTAAATGCAACTGCGCATTTAACAGCCTTTTACTCAGTGTCGCGCTTTAATAACAGCCAAAAATCTCCCCCCCCCCCTTTTACTGTGACATCTTCTCTCAATTAGTGTAGTTTGTACACTGCCTTTAATTGACAGTCTTAAAGCCTTTATAACATGCAGATAAAAGCATTACACATAGTGACAAACTTGTTAGGCCTGAGCTGCGGTGCAGTTTTTGTAACATTCCCAAAGCAGATTTTTTTTTTTTTTCACTTTTAGCATATTTTAAAAAGGTTTATACATAAACTTTATGCTGTTACCACAAACAGCACAACATTAAAATCCAGCATTATCAGTACCTTTAGGCTTGCACAATGTATAATGGCTGCATGCAGCCATATAATTTAAAGCTACGTCTCTCAATGATCTGTTTGAAGGCTCTGGCAGGCTGGCAGATTGTGGACATCTTTTGCTATACAGTTGTAAATCCTGGATACTAAAGGTAAACCTTTCATCAACAGATAATCGTGTTTATTAAAGCCTATGTGTTTAACAGTACGGCTGAAAATAAGCCGTGTGACAAGCTCCAAAAGTAAAGTCGGTCCCATATTAAGACAGAAGCATTTAAGTATTGGTCGTATAAGCGTTGCCACGTGCCAATAAAGGGTCACGGAGAAACTTAATCCTCTGAATGAGGAGTTAGGTTTATAATCTTTCTTTTTGCAAATTTACAATCAGAATAATAGGTCAGTCGTTGCAAATATGATGATGCCCTATCTTTCTATTTGACTAACAGCACAGTACAGATGCATAATGTTCTCATTTGCAGTCTGAGTGTTGTAAGTGAAGGAAAAAAAAAAAAAAACCAGCAAAAGATGAGCCAAATTGGTCAGTCTGCAGAGACCTAAAAAAAAAAAAAAATACCGCTCCATGTTGGAATCATCCTTCATATCTACTACAGATTGAATTTAACAAGTGATAGAATTTTAGAGGAATATTCTTTTCCCTACTCTGCAGTCTCAATGCCGATACAATTTCTTTTAAAAAACTAACAAAAAACTGTTACACTTGCACAGCTGGATTATTGTTAATGTAACCAACATCAGCTTCTGCACTTGATGCATTCGGATAAGATTACTTGGCTGTATATCTCTGCTGTGTTTTTGCGATAGATTATGTGCTGGCCTACATTTCTGGAAGTAGAGCCTCCTGCAAAAAACCCCAGAATAGTGGAACGAAGGGCCGAACAGTGACAGGGTCACACGGACACAAATCAAGAGCCACCAGAACCAATCATCTCAAAACTGTAGTTGTCTGTAAACCCCTTTTGTAAATCTCTTAACTAAACACAAAAGTGCAAATTACCATCCGTATCCTCAGTAGTGCTTCTCCTGCAGATAATCTTTCATCTTGTTAGGTAAGGGCAGTTTTTGGATAAGGTCTATTCTTGTATATTGCCTAATGACAAAGCGGCAAAGGTACTGCAGGGAGCGCACTTGCATAAACCGAGATACTGGGTTGGTTAGTCTGACGGGGTAGGTTGCAGATCCTGGTAAGCGAGATCTGGAATAACAAAAAGCCCCATTCTCTGAGTCTTTGATAGAGTGTTCGATTAAGTCAACAATTGATGTGTGTCCCTCCACGTCGGGCTGCTCGTAGAAGCTGAAGCGTCCGTTGGAATGTTCGATGCGGGTGTGGAGGGTTTTGCTCTGCGATCTGAAACTCAAGCTGAGCAGGTATCTGTCATCAGAGCTGTCTCTGACCAGAAATGATCCATCGGCCAGGTTGACCAGCTTTTCCTCTGCCTCCCAGCGTGTGATGGGACCCCAGTACCAGCCCTGCCTAGCAAGCTTCTTCAGCTCCTCCGTCAGGCTGGTCACAACCATGGGCCCGCTGCTCTGGACTGAGTCGTATACCCGACTAACCCCAGGAGCCGAATTTGGGTCAAAGTTGAGGTGGTGTCTTACCCTCTCAGCTACCTGGCTGTCTGCAGAGCTAAAGCCCGAAAATGTCCTTGGAATATGTCCATTACTAGTCATGGGTGGCAGGAGTGGAGAAAGGGGAGGTGGCATCTCCACTCTTGAGTTTTGGAGCATCATGCCAGCAGAACCAATAAGAATACTATTGACTGAGGTCTCCATGAATATATCTGGAGGCATCCCATTCACCAGTTCATGCTCCTCCTGTCCCTGCTCTGTGTGGAGGGACCCATTGTCTGCCTCTGTCACCACCTCCATAGGAGAGGAACCTTCCAGGCAGAAAGAGTGAGACCCTTCGGGATACATTCCCTCATCTAAAGGCATTGTGTACTGGATGTAGTCCTGGGGCGTCAACCCCAGCACCACAGGCACATCATTTTCATCAATATTTAGATGCAGCTCACCATTTTGCGGTTGCTGGAGATTCTTTAAGGACTCTGCTTGGTCCTGAAGGAGCCCTTCCATCTGGAAATCATGAAATTCTTTCCGGACACCGTTTAAGTTGGGACTTGGGTTAGGAGAGTGAACCATGGCTTTAACTTTTACCTCCATTTTGATGCACGCATCATCAGAGTTGACAGAGCGCAGAGGCCACGGAGAAGGGCTATAATGATGACTCCGGAGGGATGCAGATCTAAGGGGTCTCTGAGCTTTTACCTCATTGAAGCTGATCGGGACCGAATTAGATGAGAAGGTGTCTTCATCGTCCACTGAGCCTATGGTCGAGGCGCCGCCTTTCACTTTCGCCTTCTGTTTGGTAGACAGCCTTCTCTTTAGCGATCCCATCAGAGTCTCACTCTTTGAGCGGCCCTTGTTCTGTCCCCCTTTTTCATCTTCGCTAGCAATATCACAGGCAGAAAGCTCTTTGGTGTAGCAGCCCCCAAAAAGTGACTCATCCTTAGAAAACTCTGCAGTCACCGAGGGCTGCTGGAGCATGACAAAGTCACCCTCCTCTTTGCCCTTTATGCTGAGTGACTTGCGGATGGTCTTAAGGCTTATCTTCTTCATTCTGACAGGCCCTCCAAAACGAGGGCATGGGATGGCTCTCCTGGTATCCTGATGAAAGTACTATCCACCGTGTCCTCCCATCAGGCCACATGAAACAAGTCATGCATACAGTGGAGCCATTAAACCCTGTAGTGAGAGAAAAAAAACATGCAAGATATTCTTTGTTTGACTTTTAAAGCACACTCTGAGATTGTTATTTATTATGTTCATAATATTGACTTAAGCCCTTGAACCACATAAAGAAAAATAAAGCACTGAAGAAGGTTATTGTGGCCCTTAAACACAGTCTCCCACTCTCTCTTTTAAGTTGTACATAACCAAAAAACAAAAACAAACAAGCACACACACAAACAATATCATCAGTTTTAATATCTAATTCACTAAATATTTCAAATTTAAGATCCTCAAACACGAACAGATGTCTGATAACCAAAAACAGCAGCAACCTGATTACTCACCATGATGAGCAGGAAAATGGTGACTCAGTTGGCTGGGTCAAGTTCCACTTCCACCACCTTTCATTGGATGCTACCAAAAACAACACAAAGCCAGCTCATTTGAAATGTTCACGTCTGATTAACATGTGAATTTACCACAGGAAAACGTGCATCGTCAATCACGCACATTAACATTTAAAGTGGTTTCTAATAACCAGACCAAGCTCAGCTACATTTGTCCTTACCTGAAAAGGCCTGCGGACACAAAAGCATGGATGTAGCTTAGCTCCGGTTGTTAGCCTTTCACTTTAACGACAATATTGCAACACCGATGGTTACAATGATTACCATTGCAATTGAAATAGCAACAACAACAAACAAAGCCAACCGAGATCATATCCGATGCCAATGTGAGAGCTGCTGTGTTGCTCAGATGCTATAATAAAATTTTGCTAACGACCAGTGTTAGCATGCTTACAATAAAAGTGCATTTGTAAATACCTGTAACCACTTAGTGTAAACACGCACGATATAGCCTCTTACCCGATCACTTCTGCTTGTACTGATGGCCAAGACAGCACGAAGGTTTACGCATTCGCCTTGCACAACACCTTCATTTAAGCTTCGCTCCTTGACGATTGTTGGCTAATGTTAGCTTGACTTATACAGGCTTAGTACCTGAGCCAGCTAGCTTTGTTAGCGCTTTCTGTCGAAAACATTACCATCACCTTCCCTTCAGTCGGCTCCCACGCAAAACAGAAAGCGCAAAGCGATTATATGGCAGGACCCTGTGCTACTCTAAACATATAGCTTTAAATTGCCGAGCAGAATTAAACAATAAGTTGACATCTTCAAGCCTAGGTTGGCTAACACTTTCTAGCGTTCGGCCTCTTCCTTTCTTCCTTTGTTGCCTGTTGAATTGTGGGAGCAGAGTCAGAGGACTCAGATGCAGCGAATCAGACACACAGCAGCTCCAGCACAACCACACACAGCCCTGCTACTCCGACATCATGTGCACATCAAATCAAGGAGGAAAAAATTTATTAGCATGAAAATATATTTTTTTTCTGAGATTTATTTATTTATTTATTTATACCCTTAAATGTGAATCTGGGAAAACATTTAATTCTAACTGCTTTAATGCAAGGAGTTGTTAATGCTTAATACTTTGGGGTTAGATGCAAAAATAGAAGATGTAAAGATGTCTGAAAGGGTACCTGTAGGCTAGAATTCAACACACTTTCAATTTAGCTCAAGTAAACGTATTTAAGATGCATCCTCATTTCTGTGCTGCATCAGAAGTGGAAGTGTTACACCACAGGAAAAACTGAAAAAAGGACTGCTGAAAAAGCTACTGGAAAAGAGAAAGTGCTTAAACTTGGGTGGCGGGGGAAGTTGTTGCTTGCAAAACTTGCCCATTCAGTTCAGTCATGATTGCAGAGACATGAGCCAGCTTTCTGGGCCGTGTGAAGTTATTAGCGATGCAGTCTCTGGGGTGATTTTGCATTTTAACAAATGACTAAAAGATTATTTTTCATAAGGTGCAACCGCCCTCTCGCAGACAGTGGTTTTTAAAATGCATGATCCAAGCTGTTTGGACTTTTCATAATAGAACCGCAGCACGGGAAGATTTAGTGTGACAGAAGTTGCATCTATAATGAAGGGCTGAAGAGTTTTGGAAGTGGAGGGGTGGGGGTAACTGTCCTTAATCACTAATATGTAGTCCAGTCATTAACCCATAGTGTCATGTCCTGATTGTTTATTGTAGAGAAATGTAGAGAAATGTAAAACTTTAAGGCATTGTTCTCAGCTTTGTTTCTATTTGTTTTTTCTTCTCAAATTTCTGTAAACAGGAAACAGTGTGTGAATATGCATAGCTGCTGATTAATGTAAGTTGGCCACATTCTTGCTTATTCGCATGTGATTTACTTCATATGGCATGTAAAGTCCCCAGTTCAGCAATCAAGTATCAACTTCCCACTGCAGATATCACATAACAGCAGAGCTACAAACCTGTTTTTGTTCCCTAATGCTGGCTGTGCTTGGCCTCTTTGCAGAAAGGTCTTTCTAATTTGTATTCGCACGACATCAAGTTGGCTCTCAAAGTACTTCAAGTACTTGATACAGCAACTAAAACTTGAACTCTGAAATGATACATTGGTTGCCTAATTAGTGTCAGTATTGTTTTAAAGTAGATTGTGTTTACTACTGCCAGGCTAATTTGGTCCATATACTGAACATTACATTGTTTTTTTCCACACTGTCAAGTGTATGGCAGTCCTTCCCCAACCTGCTTAGGGCAGCTGCGTGCAGACAGGCTCTATGCAAAGACTCTAATTACCGGGCCCTATTAGGGTTGATCAGGCTGCCTTCGCTTGATGTGTTGGCACAGGAGTGGAGGGCTGGTGGGGAGAGGCTAGAGAGGAGGGGTAGGAGCTCTTTAGATATAACACCAAGGACACTGGGAAGCAAGGATGCGATGTTTCTACAAGCTAAATTAGACCTGACAAACAAACTTTTGTGTGGTTGGTATTTGTTGGCAGGCTGTAAAAACAAGTAAATGCTTCACTGTGGGAATAAGTCTGTTTTGTCATGACAGCACAAACAGATCAAATAGTTGCTAATAGCAGGCTGTTTAGAATTTACAGAAAAGATATCTTGCTCTAATGGGAGCTGAGTATCAGCACTGTGTTATCAAGCGCCACACGGCACAACATATGACCGTCTCTCGCTCCCTCCCTCCCTCTCTCTGTCTCCTTCTCTTTTTCAGATCAATATTTCCCAAATAATTTGAATTTATGTATAAGCACGATTCAAAACACCGAATCGCAAGTCAGGATGGAAGACTGTACGCGTGGAGCAGGCTGCGCTGTTTTAATGAGACATCCCTACACGAGGGGAGGCTCCCCGCATTTCATCTTAATTTCTAATGAACACTGTATCAGCCATAAATTATTTGTAAAATGTGGCTACGCTTGCCTCAGTTTGACTGAGGCCTCCGACTTGACTTCATTGCCATCGGGGGATCGTAGGGGGGGCTCCCCTCGGTGCCCACCTTCATATGCTCAACACTTGCAGCAGAGCGGAAGACGGGTACAGCAGGCATGTCAGATTGTGACAGGGCTTGTGGGACCACTTGGGTTTTGTTTCAGGAGTGACTATAGAATAAGACAGGAAGTGTTTACCTCGAGTAGGATCTGAATATTTTAGGTTAAGATGATGGCGTAGCGCTGTGATCTCATGGGTTTTCTTAATCACATTCATTTTACCTTTTTCCCTCCTCAGATTTTTAAGGAGGTCTTCTGAGATGTGCATTGATTGTTGGTACATGGACTTTGACTGCATACAAGGTAATGACTCAGTTATATAGCTGAGTCATAGAGCTCAATCACAACAGCAGCCTGGTTAAAACAATGAATAAATTGTCCATGCTTGCTCATCTTCTTCTTTGGGCCCGTTATGCTGTCACCCTTGATTTCACATGGGTAATTCTGCTAGTAGCTCATTTTATTTTGTTGCCATATGGGCTGCTGAATTTTGGACAATTACAATAATGGTTTGGTAATTAGCTGAGCTGACCTGGTTTTACGCATGAAAAGCTGTAATAGCAACACCTAGCATGCTCTCGTGAAACATGTGGACATTTTTGTGGATTTTAATTCAACGTATTATTAGAGAGAGAGCAGAGGTTAGAGAAGATGATGTCTCCATTTTTTTAAAATTATTTTTCAGCTTTTGAATATTTTTGCTAAAGTGGTCTTTTTCTTTCTTTCTTTCTTTCTTTCTTTCTTTCTTTCTTTCTTTCTTTCTTTCTTTCTTTCTTTCTTTCTTTCTTTCTTTCTTTCTTTTTTTAACTTACAAAAAAACTGTTGATTTTGGGGGGGTTGCATAGCATCCAGGGGCCATACAAATGAGATGTAGAAAAGAGAGCAGGAAATTAACATGCAGTCATTGCAATCAAACTGGGGAGCTACCAAATGACCAAATGTGCCAGTGTGCCTTTACCAGCTATTGAGTCACCTCTATGGACTGTTTGAGCCCTGGCCTAAATAGTTAGCTCCACAACCATGAAAAACACATTAAAGGTGGATCTAAATGGTGTTAGTGATAATTACCCCCCTTCCCTCCCATTTGGCATGATTGCAAAGAGTTTAAAAAAAAAAAAGGTTCTTGGTGTCATACCAGTATGTTCTAATGGCATTTTATTTTATTATCTATTTCTTCTAAAACAGGGAGACATATTTTTAGTTTTTGATTGCAGCTTCCAGATATTCATAAACTGTTAATCTTGCTTCTGTTAACCACAGTGTAAAAAACAACTTCTCCTTTCTAATGATAAGAAGAAAAAGAAAGAAGAAGAAATGTATTTGTCTGCATTTCTCAAAACAACCCGAGGTCACCTTCAAACACTAAAATAGCAGCAAGCATAATGGAAAACACGACTAAATATTATAGTTGACATGCAATTTTGAACTGTGATTTAGCCTGTGTAATAGAGTGTAGCTGATGGAGGTGGTGTAGTAGTAGTTAGTGTAAAGTATGCAAATGGGTTTAAGGATGAAGGAGATCTGAGAGATAAAGGGGAGGGGTGGGGGCCCGTGAAAGTAAAGAGCAGATACTTGTGTTGTATGCAGTAAAACAAAAAACAGAGCAAATGAGGTGAAGCCGAATGAGGAGAGGTGTGATATGATCGATGGACCTGGTGCTGATAATGATCCTTGCTACAGAATTCTGTGCCATTTCAAGCTGATTAAAAAGTTTGTTGGGGAGGCCAGCACGAATGACAGTAATCCAAGCAAGTGGTGACCAGGGTGAGAGCAAGAACTTGCATGTTGCACTGAGGAAGAAAAGAATGTAGTGTTGAAATAGTACAGTAGAAGGCTGAACATGAGACATTATTGATATGAGTGGAAAACAAGAGAGTATTACCCAAAATCACAGTTTTTATGACTTTTTTCTCCCCCATGGAAAAAGCAAATGGGCATATTTCTGGAAGATGCATTCTTTCTGCCAATGAGGATGATGTCACTTTTATTGGCATTTAATTTGACATCATTATTTATCATGCTGGTACTGATGGCCTGGAGGCAAGTGGAAGTAATAGTAGAAAGAAAGGTGCTAGATTTTGTAGGGATGTACAGTTGTGTGTCGGTTCCACCAAAATGAAGCCTTATTAGCGTTTACACCATTTTTTATTTATGATTTGCCCTTTTTCATACTTTAATGAGAAAGTTAGTTAAACCAAATCAGCACTGTAGTTTGAGTTTGGGAGAATGTTTGTTTTTTTCATTTAATAAATCAAAGGAAAGATCCAAGGAGAATATCTGTAATGTGGCAGATCTTGCTTTTATAGTAAGATTCAACCATGCTTATGCTATAAATCTCTATGGGACTTTTAGTCTCTGCAAGTTATCTTAAAAATGGAATAGACATCAACAGTTTAGTGCTCATTACTTTTATTTGTGCTGCCCAGTACGGTCTGGCACAAGTAAATGACTCATGATTGGCTTTAGAATCCAAATGCTGAGATGCTTTGAGAGTAAATCTAGCTTCAAAGTATTTAAATTGGCATGCTTTCCACTCAGAGAACGGGCTTACATTCGTAAAGTGCCCGAGGTGGTTTCTGGCATATGAGTAATTTAGCCTGATGTGAAATAGCTGACAGATAACAAGTAGCTCTTTCTGATTTACAATGTTAAAAATCCTTAAATTGACCCTCCCCTGTCGAGTGGGGTCCATGCAGATGCATTTTTGTCGTATTTCACAGGTGGGTTTTTGTCTATCATTCTAATTTGTTTTTACTTTTTCAGCCAATTTATTCCTAGTGATGTTACATGATTGTTTTTCATTTCTGCTTTGATTAGTGCTTTTTAAAAACAGAAATATTTGGGGGTCCCAGGAGACCTTTCTTAGTTTTCATAAATGGAACTATTTATTTAGTTAATCTTTGCTATCTA